ACGTATGCATAAAAAATTATGTAGCGATGTAGCGATCGTCAATGTGACAGAAACTATGTTGCTTCTGGCAGGTATGGAGAACCCAGATTCAATTCTTAAGCATTTGGCTGATCTTATGAGACCGATGCTCATTAATTCACTAAAGGAGAGAAGAAAGAAAATCTTCACAGAAAATGCAGATAGAATGAAACGCTTGATGGAAAATCTTCAGAAAAAGCTTGATGAGGTTGGACCCAGCTGCTTCAACTATAGCTTTACTTTTGTGTGGCGACCGATATCTTGGAGATGTTATTCAGCATTATCAGCCAGCATGATATTATCTTATGACCTTTTTTTTTTTTTTTTTTTCAATTTTCCTTTTGGCAGTCTTTCCTAAATATGCAACTTTACGAAAAAGCACTTGAGCTATTTGAAGATGACCAATCGACCTCAGTAAGTACTTTCAGTTCATTTTGTAAGCCGCACTTGCTACTTAAAGTTAAAGAAGATAGTGTAACAATTTGTTTTCTTCTGGCGCCTAGGTTGTTTTACATAGGCATCTTCTGAGAACAACAGCAGCCACAATTGCTGATACACTTCTTCATGACTTGGTAAGTCGAAAATAAAGTGGAGTTTCTAAGGTCATCTACTTACTGATTTCACTGATCAAGCTTCGATTTTCAAAACAGGACATCCTCAACAAATTGAAGAATGGTACTGAAGTTGGAGACTCCAAAACTCAAGATACAGTTTTGCTTGACTCTTCTGAAAGAACAGCCCTCTTATGTCTATTACATAAGCCATTTTTTCATTTCTCGACTCTTGACTCCTGACTCCATCGACACAAGAATAATCAGTAGGACATAATTTTCACGATAGCTCTATGTTTAATAAACGGATTAAAATGACAGAAAATAACACAAGATTTTTTAATTATCAACTCATTGTAGTTTTAGATTAGAGAAATTAATTAGTAGTACTTGACTTAATTAATTAGCTTGTTGAATTTGAAAACTACAGGTGGGAAACAATGCTTGCATTACACGCAAGTGGTGTGGAGTGACTCTGTGAAGATAGGGTGTGCTAGGGTTCAATGCAACGATGGTTGGTATTTCGTGAGTTGTAACTATGATGCACCCGGTAATTGGATCGGAGAGTACCCTTACTGATCCTTATCTCTAATTTGACATATAATAATAAGTATGTATAATCTAATTTGAATTACTGTTTCTTAAAATAAATTATTGTCTAATCTCAAGATGTAATAATTTATAATTTTCATATAAAGAGGTTGTAATGTTTGCTTTCTTTACAATTCATCAAATGCTGTCGTTTTTTTTTTTTTTTGTTATCTTGTTAACATAATGAGGAAGTCCATTCTACTTGTAAAGTTAATTTCCTATTTATACATACAATAATTATTTATGGTGTAATTAAGTTCGCAGAAAACCCGAATTTAAAATCAAACTTCAGTATTAATTCGAAAGAAAAAAAATCAATCCGAACAGTACCAAACTTAGATCGGGTCTATTTGGGTAACAATTCTTTGAACTGAACAAATAAAACAAATCTATATTCTGACCCAAATCGATCCATTATGCTAAGTGTTCAACTCTAGTTAATTATATAGTGTATCTTATAAATTGTAATAAATCTGAGTCTAGCAGCAAGAATAGGTCATCTTTTAGAAAAACACTTTTTTTTTTTTCTTTGTAGAAGTTTATTTAAGTTTAAATTTTGTGAGATAAACAGTTAAGCAAAATTGCACATATCAAATTTGTTTTGTGAATTATGTTGACATAGCTAAATTTTAAATTCTGTCGTGAATTAACAATAACACTAGAAATTAACCCGCGGTACACCGCGGGGCTATATTTAAAAAAGATTATCTATAGATATAACCTATTGTTTTGTTATTTAAAATGAATTTATATATGTATATATTAAATATATTACCTCGTAATACACCTCGGGTCAATTTTTTATAACTAAATTTTTTCAATTTAAATTGTATTTGTTTTGTTAATATTATTTGTTTGTTTAATATTTAAGATTATATAGTTGTATGAGATTGTTAATTCTAGGATTTCACCCATAGTATACCATCCCGTATTAATATTGGCCCAAACCAGTCCCATCATATAACTCCGTCCCGTGAAATTAGACATCTTTTTATTATATTTTTTTTTAATAATATTTTGTCTAAAAAACATATAATTCGAATCAAATTAAATGTTTTCTTTAAGAACATATTTTGTAATGTTTTTATTATAAAAAGTAATAATACACATATGTTGCTTACTATAGTTATAATCAAAACCAACTAAAATCTATGTTTAGTATAGATTATGAATTATGGTTATGAGTTATGACCAAAACAAATTTAATTATATACAATTAGTGTGAATTAAGAAAAAAAACAGCTGTCAAAAAAAAAAAAAACAAACAAAAATAATAATAAAAAAACTAAGCCTTCTCTATTTTTTATTTTTTTTATTCATCTTGTGCACGTGTTATGAACATATATTTTCTACAAACCATATCATTTTTATAATTATTAAACAATCAAAGGTGGAGTGTTTATATATTACCAGAAATCTCGGCAAAAACATATTCAAAATCTCCGAATTCTGTTAATTGGGTTTGATTTTCTTGGAGAAAAATATCTAAATTGATGATTATAATAATTTGATTTTAATATTTTCGTAGTAATAAATTCAACCAAATATCACGGGGGTTTAAATTTGGTAACTAATTGTGTAGTTAATGTGGAGAGATTTTAGGAATATTGATTAAGGTATATAGAGATTTTATACTAATAATTAAATTAATGTCGTGATAATGTCTTTTTGGTAGGAAAAATAAAAGATCCGATACTTAATTTTCGGGTCATCCGATAGCCAAAAACCCGACCCACCAGTGGCAATTTTTGTAAATACATTCCAATTCCAGGATTTATTTACTAAATGTCTCCAAAAATGTATATATAGACTAGAATTTAACCTGCGGTATCCCACGAGGCAAAATTGTATTTTATGTATTTTATATAATAATTTATAGTTTATTGTATTTTGAAATTGATATTATAAAAAAAATCTCATTTAATTATTTTATATTATAATTAATATATTTGAAATATGTGTAATTAATCTTCATTTAATTACGAAGATTTGTAGATGTACAAATGATATAGTATTAATATTGGCAAGTATTTATAATCATGGACTATTATAATAATTTGATATTATTTTATATCAAAACAATTTACCCCGCGGTATATTGCGTGTCGATTTTTTTAAACTAAAAATTTTAAATTTTAAGTTATATTTTTTTGTTAATATTTGTTGGTTTGTTTAATATTTAAGATTACCTAATTATATTTTTATTTTTAATTCTAGGTTTCACCGGTGGTATACGTTCACGTATTAATATCGACTCAAACCCGTCCCACCATATAACTCCGTTTTGTATTCAGAATCATTTTGATCGTTTTTATAGCATGACTCTGAACCATTGTCCAAACTTTTAAGCAATATGGGACATTGTACACATATTTTTTCTTCATCGATTGAGTAATATGTGTCCGTTTTAAAAAATTTGAATCACATTATATGCAGAAAAATCTATTATTTTATTAATTATTTGTATTTTATATAAATTCAAAATAAATTAATATAAGATCATATAAAAGTGAAAAAGAATTATATATTAATGTTTAAATTTGGTAGAGATGTTTTAGAAAAATTTAGAAATAAAATCAATTTGTTACCATATTTTCCACAGTTTCTAAAAGATTTTTTTGAAAAGATTTTGTAATATTAATTAATATATAAACATTTATGACAATGGCATTCTATTGTAAATACTTCTCAACTTCAGGATTTATTTGCTAAATGTACTTCAAAAATGTATATATAGATTATCCTACGGTTTTTATAGTTACTATAATATTAGCAATAAACAACAATCAGTAATGACAGCTTGGCCGAGTGGTCTAGTGTTATTTGGATTATGACGTGTCTTACTTGACACCTGTCAACTTCATATTGGTTTGATGTTTTTGATGCCGTGATGGAGTCGAACGGTGGAGATTCGTCGGGAATTGGAAGAGTTAAAGCTCGAGAAGGCGGAAATAGAGCACCGTATATCGACCCTCGAAGCAAAGCTCCAGGGTAAAGCGGCGGTTGAACGATGCGACGTCGTATCAAATGGTTTCTCTTATCAAACGGCGCCGGAGCTTGAACATGGGTTGTCTTCGGATCAGATTTACCGTTACAGTCGCCAACTGTTACTTCCTTGGTTTGCTGTTGAAGGTACTTTGCTCAAATTGCAACTCTTTTCACCTTCTCGTTTCTCATTGAATTTTGAATTTTTTAGCCAATAGGATGGATAATTCTTAAGTTATTGATCATGGAGCTAAAAGATGAAAACTTTATTTTTGGTTTCCTTTGTTTTCCCTTTGATTACATTTGTGTAATTTACTCATCTATAAGAAATTTGACTTCATTTGTTTGAAATCTGAATTGCTTGTTTCATCTGCTACAAATTGATTCTTCTTTTTTGTTCTAAGTTTGTGTGTGTATGATTTTAGGGCAGTCAAATCTTTTGAAGTCTTTGGTGTTAGTTATTGGAGCTGGAGGACTTGGTTCATCTGCCTTCCTTGTTGTATCTTGCAGCATGTGGTGTTGGTATGGTTTTCGACTCTTACCTCAAATCTATCTACAGATATCGATAGAATAGTAAACTTTTGGTTTGTTTTGATATGTATCTTGTTTTGTTTGATTATGGTGGCTCTCCTAGTTTTCTGTTTTGATTTAGTTTACCTTTTGTGGTTTATAATTGATTAGTGCAAGTGATGATGAAAAGACAGGGACTAATGTCTAGATGGGAATCTCTCTGATGCACATGTCATAGTGATAGTATATTGTAGTATTCAAATTATCTGCTATAATCTAGTGTTTTCAGTTTTTATTTGGTTGTTATTTTGTTTTGTTTTAATGCCATTTTGGTGTCTTTTGATGAGTGCAAGTGAAGATGAAAAGATAGGGACATCATAATTAGAATGATGAGCTATGTCTAAACGGGAATCTCTCTTATGCAGATTACTATGAATCTTCAAATTTTATCTTTGTTCATTCTATATCATCAAGTGATTAACAGTCTCATTGGTTTTGCCAATGATGTGCCTTAACAATTGCACGTATTATCGGGTTTTCAGTGATGAATATCACTAATGTCTGAGGCAACCTGTGAATATTGTTTCATGACTGTCTAAAAATGCATATCACTAATGAATTTTGTAATCATTGAACACAGATTGCAGAACATATTTAATCATGGAAATATTTCTTCTTTAATAAAAAAGTTCTTTTGTTTCTTCAATGTAATCGTTCAAGTTCATGTTACTGCTCATCCAAAAAATTGAAAATCATTTTATCAACAAACTAAGCAAGTAGCTACACAAAATAAGAACATCACTATTAGCATCCCTATTAAGGATTCTACCATTGGAAGACCTAATTTCTCCAAAACCTAAACCTGAAGTTCAACCTCAACCTCAGACTAACGGGAAACCAACCTGGGAACAAAGTGAATTACCTGTTTCTCAACCACAGGATGAGATACATCCACAGCCGCAGGCACAGATACAGCCACCACCGATTAAGAGGCCACCAGGACGTCCTAGAAAGGATGGAGCTTTGCCTACAGTGAAGACTGCTGCTTCTGTTTCCGGTGGTGTGGAAATTGTGAAACGAAGAGGTAGACCTCCGAGTGGAAGAGCTGCTGGAAGAGAGAGGAAGCCTACAGTTATCTCAGCTCCAGCTTCGGTGTTCCCGTATGTTGCTAATGGTGGTGTTAGACGCCGAGGGAGGCCAAAGAGAGTTGATGCTGGTGCTTCTTCTGTTGCTCCACCACCACAACCACCTAACGTAGAGAGTGGAGGAGAGGAAGTTGCAGTCAAGAAACGAGGACGAGGACGGCCTCCTAAGATCGGTGGTGTTATTAGGAAGCCTATGAAGCCTAAGAGAAGCTTTACTCGTACTGGTAGACCCGTAGGAAGACCCAGAAAGGTATAAAATTTCCTTCCTTTTTGTTTTCCTCTGTTTTGTCAGTGTTTCTGTGATCTCACAGTGGCTATTATAGAACTTGAGTGTTTCAATTTTCCGAGTCAAATAGACGAGAAAAAGTTGGAAATTTTCGTCCTTGTGAATAAATGTCACTTTCCCTTCTGAACACTGTCTCTTTCGAGCGTGTGAGTAGAGAGTATCTAAATAGTTTCTAGAGTTTAATTATATTCGTGGTCTCTGCTTTTGGACTCTATTTATCTGTTTTTTAGTGTACTATTTATTTAAGATTTCTCTTTGTTTGGTAATCAAGAGCAAGTTGGTAGGTGGCTTGCTAATAATTGTTCACTTGAACTATGGGAATTACATAGGAACTTAATTATTGAGGCTCAGATGTCCAGCATTGGTTTATTCAATTTAAGGTTTATAATTTGTGTATTTTACAAGTCTTTTTATTGCCAATTGTTTCACTAGAATTTGTTAATCTGTTGTATTGATTAGTTATCTAAATTACCTCTATGTTGTTGCCATTTTATAAACATAGAATGCGGTGTCAGTGAGAGCTTCTGGACAACAAGATGGTGACTATGGAGAGCTCAAGAAGAAGCTTGAGTTGTTTGTAACTTAACTAATAAACAAAAACACAATATGGTTCTTTCTTGGCTTCAAGCTTAATTGCTTATGCTTGGTTTTGATGTCATGCAGCAAGCGAGAGCTAAGGATATTGTTACTGTGTTGAAAGCTGAGATAGGAGGAACTGAAAATCAAGCGGTGGTTCAAGCCATACAGGACCTGGAAGGGACAACAGGAACAACAACGGAGACAACAAACAAGCCACAGGCTATGCAAGAAGCTCTGTTCTAAAGAGAGCTCATGATATAAAAAAGCTAGCAAGTGGTGATGATGATGGTGGGTTTGCTTGTTGTGTGTTCCATGAAATTTTTAATCGTTTAAGGGTGTTTGCAGGAGAAGAAAACAAAAAGAACAATGTGATGATGATTGTGTCTCTAACCAAACAACAAGGAGAGGTAGGGTAATGTCTGTAAAGTGAATTAGGATGTTACCATTGTTCATGCTCTTTCTTCTCTCTCTCCATCGTCCATGTCTGTGTAGGCTGTGATCTTTGTTCCCTTATGTTTCTTTAGACTCTGTTCTCTTATTCTATTTTGTATCTTAGGCTCTTTTAGGAGTTGATGATGTTTATCAAAACGCTATGCAATTTTTATGACCACTTCTACTTTTATGATGGTTTCTTCACTCTCTTACGTTATGTAGTTATTTATTTATATGTCAGTATTTTCTTAGTAAGACATTAAATTAATGTTGCCTACATATCGATCAGTTGCTTTGTTTGAGATTATACTTCGAAATCCGGTTTAAGTTATTATTGCAAAAGTCAGGTAGAACGGTTTTCACTTCACTCACACACCATTTAACCAATTTTGTTTTTACTCGAAACACACCTTTTAACCAATTTCAATACTTTCTCCAAAAAAAATTGAATTTGAAAAAAAGTAGGTTAATTTTCGATTTTGGTTTTAGCAACTCTTTTAGAAAAAGGTTAAAAGAAATCACCACCATGTATACTACAACTGGCAACAATGTTGGGAAGTAGTCGGCGAGTCTGTTACATGTTTTGTGCTGGATTTCTTTGAATCTGGAACTCTACCTGCAGATCTGAATGATGCACTCTTGGTTTTGATTCCCAAGGTGATGAAGCCGGAGAAAATCACGCAGTTTCGTCCAATAAGCTTAAGTAATGTGTTATTTAAGATAATAACTAAGACGATGGTGGAGAGGCTTAAGCGAGTCATGACGAAGCGGGCCAGCTCAGTCGAGTTTCATACCTGGGAGAGTGAGCATTGATAATATAGTAGTGGTGCAGGAGGCGGTACACTCTATGAAACGTAAACAAGGCCGGAAAGGGTGGATGCTTCTGAAACTGGATCTTGAGAAGGCTTATGACAGGATTAGATGGGACTTTCTGGAAGATACCCTTATTGCTGCGGGGCTGGCTGAGAAATGGGTCCGATGGATCATGGCATGTGTGACAGGCCCTTCGATGAGATTGCTTTGGAACGGGGAGCGGACAGAAGCGTTTAAGCCACGGCGGGGGCTTAGACAAGAGGATCCGTTGTCACCTTATCTTTTCGTCCTATGTATGGAGAGATTGTGCCATATGATTGAGGTTTCTATTGAGAAGAAGCAGTGGAAACCGATTAGTTTGTCGCAGGGTGGGCCCAAGTTATCCCATATTTGCTTCGCTGATGACCTCATTTTATTTGCAGAGGCTTCAGTAGCGCAAGTACGGGTGATTAGAAAGGTCCTTGAAACGTTTTGTGTAGCTTCTGGTCAGAAGGTCAGTCTTGAAAAATCAAAGATATTTTTTCCAAGAATGTGTCGCGGGAGTTGGGGAAATTGATTAGCGATGAGAGTGGTATTGCGTCAACATGTGATCTTGGAAAATATCTTGGTATGCCAGTTCTTCAAAAGAGAATAAATAAGGACACTTTTGGAGATATTTTGGAGAAAGTGTCGTCTCGGCTCTCGGGTTGGAAGGAGAAGACTTTGAGTTTTGCAGGACGCCTAACACTCACGAAGGCAGTCTTATCCTCAATTCCAGTCCATTCGATGAGTTCGATTCTGCTGCCGAAATCCACATTAACACGGTTGGAGAGAGCATCTCGGTCTTTCTTATGGGGAAGCACCATGGAAAAAAGGAAACAACACTTGGTTGGTTGGAAGAGAGTGTGTTTACCAAAAAAGGAAGGCGGGTTGGGGATCCGGATGGCTGTAGATATGAATAAAGCATTGATAGCGAAAGTTGGTTGGAGGCTATTAAATGACCGGGTGAGTCTTTGGTCGCGAGTGATACGGTCTAAATATAAGGTTGGTGAGATTCATGATCCAAGGTGGCTGGTGGCAAAAGGAAATTGGTCATCGACTATGCGGAGTATCGGAGTTGGGCTGCGGGAGGTAGTAATGCGGGGAATCAGCTGGGTAATAGGCGATGGCAGGCAGATACGGTTCTGGACAGATAAGTGGGTCTCGGGTAAGAGGCTCTTGGATGATGGAATGGGTAACATACCAGTTAATGATGAAGCGGTGTTGGCTCGGGATTTATGGCATAATGGTATGGGCTGGGATCTGACCAGAATAACCCCGCACATATCTCAAGACATGAGACTTGAATTAACGTCGCTGGTAGTGGACAGTGTTACGGGGTCAAAAGACAGAGTTTCCTGGGGGAAGAACCAGGATGGGAATTTCACGGTGTCGTCTGCGTATAGGATGCTGACATGGGAAGACGGGCCAAGGCAGAATATGGCGTCTTTTTTTTATTGTATATGGAAGGTGAAAGTACCAGAACGCGTGAGAATGTTCTTATGGCTTGTCGGGAATCAAGCAATCATGACAAATGCGGAGAGATATCGGAGACATTTGTGCGATTCGGAATTTTGTCAGATTTGTAAGGGGGGGATCGAGACTATTTTGCATATCCTCAGGGATTGTCCGGCGATGTCAGGTATATGGACCCGGATTGTTCCTAGGAGGAGACAGCCGGCTTTCTTTACGCAGACAATACTTGAGTGGTTATATGCAAATTTGAGAGAGGAGACACAGGTAGAGGATGGTCCCTGGTCCGTGATGTTTGCTTTGGCAGTGTGGTGGGGCTGGAAATGGAGGTGCAGAAATGTGTTTGGGGAGAACAAGAGATGTCAAGACCGAGTGCGTTTTATTAGAGAGTTAGCAATGGAGGTGAACAAAGCTAATCTTAATAGCGGAGTGGGTCAGGAGAAGAGGCCGAGAGTGGAGATGTTGGTAGGATGGGTGGCACCAATGGCGGGCTGGTTAAAAATAAATACAGATGGTGCGTCTCATGGGAATCCCGGGTTAGCTACTGCAGGAGGGGTACTCCGGGATAGTGCAGGAAGATGGTGTGGTGGGTTTGCGCTGAATATTGGGCGATGTTCGGCACCGTTGGCAGAATTGTGGGGGGGGGGGGTATACTATGGATTATATTTAGCGTGGGCAGC